TGCAAGATAATTGAAGAATCATTATATGAAAATCCATAGGTTGTTTGAATGAATTTATCAATTGATCACAACCAAATACATTCTCGAGATGCTTCATGTAAGACAATAATTTCTGCATGGTTGGATGAAGTTGAAGTTATTGTTTGTTTCACTGATTTCCATGATATTGCAGCTCTATGTCTTAAAAATACATATCTTGTTTGAGATTTAGATGTTGCAATATCAGATTTATATCCTGCATCACAATATCCAACTAATTTTGGATCTGTGGATTTTGTATAGTATAATCCCAAGTCTTCAGTATCTTTTAAATAATGTAATAAATGTTTGATGCCATTTCAATGTCGTAGTATTGGACGTGCACTATGTCTTGCAAGAACACTAATTGCAAATGTAATATCTGGACTTGTAGATGTAGTCAAATACAAAAGTGTTCCAATTGTTGCGAGGTATAGATATTGGTCTCCCAATATTTCCTCATCCTCCTCGCATGGACAATATAGATCATGACCATCACGACCACATCCAACCATTGGTGTGGACAATAGATAAGCATCAATCATATTAAATCTTTGTAAGATTTGTCTAATATATGTTAGTTGGTAGAAAAAAATGCTACCATCTGTTAGATGCATAATCTGAAGACCAATGCAGAAAGTTTTTTTTCCTAGCATTTTCATCTCAAATTCATGTATAAGTAGGTTTGTAGCTGTAACACATGCAGATGTAGTGCCCACTAGGTTAAGATCATCAACATATACAATGATGATCACAAAACTAGTTTTATCTCGTTTGATAAACAAACAAGGGATTAATGGATCACTTATAAAATTATTTGTAATTAAGTAATCTCGAAGACGTTGATACCACATTCATCCGGATTGTTTTAAACCATACAAGGCCTTACATAATTTAATACCACGATATTTTCCTAGAGCAGGTTGATTTGGAGTTCTTGTTTCTAAGCTAGGTGGAACTTTCATATAAATATTTGCATCAAGAGAACTATATAGATATGCAGTAACTACATCCATCAGATGCATCTCAAGGGTGGCATGAATTGTCATTCCAATAATATATCGAAATGTAATTGAATCCATGATTAGATAATATAAAGGATTCATAATCAATGCCAAATCGTTGAGTAAATCTTTGAGCAACAAGACGAGCTTTATAGCGGGTTATTTGGCCTTGAGCATCTCGCTTGCATATTAATATCATTTTAAATCCCACAAGGCGAGATATAAGAGTATCTACAATTGGACCAAAGACTTTTCTCTTAAGCAAAGAGGCATACTCTTTTTCAATAGCAGTTTTCCATTTTGACCAATTTGAGCGACACATCACCTCTTCGATGGTTTGAGGTTCAGGATCGTCTTCCTTGCAAGAAAGGGCTTCTATAATCATATATGCAAATGATTCATCTACTGTAATAGATGATCTATCCCAATCATCCATGCTAATGAGAAACACAACTCTCTGAGATATATGATGCAAAATTAAATATAATGGGAGGCCGAATCAGAATTCGGTATAAACTATTTTCTGTAGCAAAAGCTTTTTCAACAACTTTATGATTCTTCGCAAGAATCAAAACCTCTTTTCTATTTAAAGTAGCAGTCAAGAGGTGATAACTATTAATATGCACATCTCGGTAGCTGATTAGACTCCGAGGTACTGAGGGTGTAAACATCGCATGTTTACATTTTATGATGGAACCCGCAGGTAATTTTACCATTGCTATGCCCTCTTGGAAACAAAACGCATTTTCTCCAGCCATGGTCATCATATTTTTAGTTTGCCAAGTTGAAGATTTTTCAATAAAAAATCATCTATCTCGCAAGATAGTATGTGTTGTTGCAGAATCAATGAGTGCATCATTTGATTCATCATTAGAGGTTCTATCATTCATATAAGCCTCTAAGTCATCAATACCAATTGAATCCATAGACGCATCTATGGTATGAACTTCACGAGCCTCAGCTCACAATTTCTTATTTTTTTGGAATATTTTAATAAAATATTTTGAAGTACGGCACGTATGTGCTAAATGTCCAAACATTCTGCACTTATGGCAAGAACGCATCTTTGATTTTTTTTTTCTACTATAATTAATAGTAAAACGTTTATTCTTTCCATATAGATAGAAATGGTCTTGACTATGACTACCCTGATACTTATGAGCACGTTTCCCATGTTTATATAATTTCTTCTTAGACTTTGAAATATTAAGTACATGAGATTCTGGAATTGTAGTTCCAATAAGACGAGCTTCCGCATTGTGCCAGAGTAGCTCATTTTGCTTCTCCGCAAGAAGTAGATAGGACATGAAATCAGAATGACTCTGAAGTTTCATATTCCTATATTGTTGTGCAAGTACAGCAGATGTAGGAGGAAATATAGAGAGAGTTTTCTCAATCATTTCTTCTTTAGAAATGCTTTGTTCACATAATCGTAATTATGAGAGAATACTATATATTTCACTATTGAAAGTATTTAAATTTGGAAAATCTAAGACACGTAAATGTGTCTAATTATGACATGCACATGGAAGAAAAATGGTCTTTTGATGATCAAACCTAGATTTAAGATTCTTCCAAAATTCTGCAAGGTCTTCCATTTCCAAATATTGATATTGTAATGCAGGTACAAGATGACGACGAAGGAGAAGAAGTGCTTTCCAACGAATAGCAGGAGGTATAGAAATACTTGTTGTAAGAGATTCTTCAAACATAATAGCATCCGAGAGTTGTTCTGCAAATAAATTTGCTTTTGCCATTTTTGCCCATAATAGATAATTGTTTCCATCTACAGTCAATGGTAGAAATAAAAGAGCTTGAAAATGTTGGGATGCACTGGTAATAGTTGGAACCATAGTAGAAGTAGTTGAAGATGTTGAAGCACTGATTATAAATAAATCTGTAAAGAAAATACAAGATCAAATAGAAAAGTTGAGTAAAACATACTTTAAAATATAAAGTCAAATAAAATAATAAACTTGAACTTGAAAAAAATAAATATATATATATATATATATATATATATATATTTAAAGAGAAAGTTATAGATTAAGGTAGCAAAACAGTAATAAAATGGCAGCATGCAGCGGTAGGTGCGGTAGGATGGCAACGGCAGGCAGCAGCGGGCAACGATGGGCAGCAACAGACAATGACAATGGTGGCAGTGGATAGCGGCAACGGCGACAGTAGTGATGGGCGGCAGCGTGAGCGGCAACAAGGTGGTAGCGATGGATTCGGCGTTTGTTCGGTAGTAGTTCGGTGGCAAATGCAGGGTGCAATAGGGAACAAGGAGCAAGTAGAGGGTAGAGTTGGGCTAGATCAAGTATTGAGAGCAAGCAAGGTAGGGAGTAGAACAAGTGCTCTAAGCAAGTAGCTAATGTGTGAGGGACCAGCAAGAAGAATAAGATCATGAGGCAGACACTAACCAAGGGTAGCAACAGGTTTGAAGAGTCAAAGATTAGAGCAAAAAAATTATGATAGTAAATAGAAGAGAGTCCTGCTGATAACATGTTGAAAATGTTTAGAAAGACAAGAGTAATAGTAAGTCATACCCACACACAAGAGTAGTAGTAAGTCATACTGTCACGGACATAATAATGTAAGCTAGTAATTATATATACAAATAGATAGAAGTAAATAAAAGTAGGTAAAAATAAGTTAATTCTATAGTATTTAATATGAAAGCTTCTTAGAAGCTTCATAGATGCTGCTTTGACTTCATAGGTGTCTTTAATTGACTTTTTGGATTAGAAACGTGGTCAACAAGTTGGCCATGTGCCACACATGTTGTTAGCTTGAAGATCAAGCTAACTATGTGGCCCACACATAGAAAAACTTGCCTTATAAGTCAAGGCATGTGTCTTACAAAGTCAACACATATTGGAGGTCCTATAGAACGTCGCCATGTAGCTCCTAGTTAGATAGTATATATAGAGACAAGAGTGAAGGCTTCTTCACTCTTGTCAACTCCTTTCTTGCTTCTAGTCTAGTTTCAAGGGTCTCTAATTTTCTTGTCTTTTGGCAATAGCCATTCCAATTTCTCTTTCAATATATATACTTGTTTATATATATTTTTTTACCTCTCTTTGAGTGAAGGCTCACCTGTCTAAATTGTTTTTTCATCGAATTCTTATCCTTGACACATACACACAAGAGGGTTTCTAAGGAGAGAGACCTTTACACACACAAATCTATTGATCTGGTTGTGTCTCGTATACAAGAAGAGAAAAGAGAAGAAGATAAATAGTACTTCTCCACTAGAATCTAAATACTATAGCTATAGTAATTACTATAGTCTATAGTAAATATTATGGAGAGCGCCGACTACATTTAATGATCTCAACAATCACAATGCCCGATGGCATGATTCTCTCCTAGTAATGTTATACAAAGACATGACCCCAATCTGAATACAACATGATATTCTAACAAAATTCCACTTATTGATTTCTTCCAAAACAATAAAAAATTCTCCACTAAAACAATGTCATTGACTATGCAAGCCACAACAGAACAAAAGCACAATAGCATCCTAGTAACATTGCCCCACAAGCAAGTGAAGAAAATGGATGCACTGTACAACCCTATTGACCACCACGACCACCACCAACAGCATGCTAACAAGCTAGACAGATAGATATCCCTTGAACTCCCACATATCCCTTAACAAGGAAGGGTTAATAATCAAATCAATCAATCAATCAATGAATCAATCCCTGTACATCAAGGAATACCATCACGCATGAATCCCTGCAATTCAGGGTTTTAGAAATAATTATGCCACTGTCGCAAAGAAAGACCTCCATTAAGGAAATTCACACTACTTACAGGAAGGAGGGGCGTTATCTAGTGGCGGTGGGTGAAGGTGCTTGCCAAATTTCTGGAAGGCGGCCTCGGAAAACCTGGGCAATTACAGAGAGGGCCATGCTTTTCAACTCCAACGTGGAACATGTCTCCCTCACTGTCATGTTAAACTGCATCCAGCCGCAACCGGCACTGTTTTTTTTCTTAATGCAACACGCTCCACTCTAGCTTATTCCATCTTGCACTGCATCCAGCAGCAGCAGCACCACCTGCATCCTTTTCAGGATCTAGAATCGAGAGCTAAGACCAGGTTGCATTTAATATCTTCATTGGAAGCGTTGTCATCTAGCAGTACAATTAGGTGTGGTAGGTTGAGGTTTAGTGCCATACAGTCCAGTTGACAAGAGGTTTGCTGAGAGCAATTGGGTTGAGTCGTGGGGTCTGGAGCTGGACTGAACTGTGTGCGTAGAGGGATAGAACCAGTTGGTTGAGGAAAGGTTGTTTCGGTTGTGGGGTTGTGGTGAACCAACTTCGGTGGGGGTTTGTGTGCGTGGTGTTTTGGAGGGTCGGGTGGTGGGAGGAGTGTTCAAGTGAGGTGTTAGAATGGAAGGGGGAGCTTGGAACTCGGAGACTTTCACCAACACGAAGCCTGCGGGAACAGCGGGTGTGCATGTCCCGCCTGCGGGATCTGCGACACCGCCTTTGTACCACCAGCCCGCGTTGGGCGCGGGCAAGGAGTTGAAGGCGTTTGGGTTCGCGACAGTCGGTCTACGCATTGCACAGTTCGTTTTCACCCTGCTTGGGTTTGCCGTTATGGCATCAAACCAAGCGACTGTATACGTGGAAGATCTTTTTACTACAGAGGAGAGTACTGTGAAGTTCAGCTCTATCGAGTCCTTCATGTAAGCACTGCCCCCATCACTCCGGAGATTCTGTCGTCACTTTTCCTTGGTTTGGTTTGATTTGACATACGTTGATGCCAAACAGAGAGGCTGACGAAATGGTTTCCTAAATTTTTCTTGCAGAGGGCTACTCGCTTTGGATGTAATCGTATGCTTCTATGCGCTAGTGCAGCTGATTCACTCCATTGTCTGGGCTTCATCCAAGGGATCATTCTCCTCGTCGGCCACTACGGGCCTCGCTATGATTACCTTCCTCTTCGATTTGGCAAGTTTGGTCTTCCCTCTCCTAAACTATGTCCTGCAGTATGCCAAAACGACATGACCATTTTTCAAAAAGTTGGCTTCATGTATCCTCCGCGACACTGTAAAGTTGCTGACATGCTAGCATTAGAATTTATACCAGTAAACTCGAAACAAGTGGATATTTGTCGATTTTGTGGTCCTGTATCAAGGAATAATACTGGACTGGCTGGGGTAACAGGTTTTGGCGTTCGCTCTCATTGCAGCCGGCGGCGCGGCTGCGGACTCGACTCAGATCTGGTCTCAGGAAGGCTTATGTGATGACACAGGCATCCCTAAATTTTGCCAGAAGGCTAATGCGTCCATTGTCATCTCCTTCTTCGCCTTCGCCTTCTTGGCTTTCTCGTGCATTCTATACCCTCTTCGTCTTTTGAGGTTGGCCAAGCAGTGAAGCAACTCTAGGCTGTAAAATGAGTTCCTTTCATGGCATGCGTTTTCTCTGGAAGAGATTTACTTGGGCAAGAGAATCACTTAGTAGTGTGCCCATGTTGTACTGACATGGATATGTTTTTAGAGATTGCGATATGTATCAGGAGACGGACCAGTTGTAAATTTAATGCAAAAATAAGGTAGGAGGCACTTGTAAGGCACCGATTCCAGTACTCCTGATAATTTTCTCTTTGTATACATGACTTGTGAACTAAAAGATTCGACAACACATTACTGGAGCCTCAGTGCTCTAAGCACCACTCTGGAAAACCTCTGTCGAGATTACTCGTAACACCAAGTCCTTTGAACATGAACTTCAGATGAACTTTGGTCTACATAGAACTTCCAATGCTGTTACTTCTGGAACTCTCTAGACCTGTTTGGAACCACAGGTCTCTCTTGCAGTCACAATAGCACCAGACCATTGACTTTACTGCAATCACATTACTGATGCTTTAGCCCGTCAATGGTGATATAGTTTCAAAACGTGAAGTGCAATTCTTATAACGTGAAGCGCAAAACAGATGATGGCACCTTGCTTAGATAAGCTACAATCATGCAACATGGGGCAACCAAGTTGTGCAAACTCTGACAAATTGGTAGTACCATTTCCTGGTTTTGCTCATGAAATTCAACTGCTCATAGTTCCACGCTCACCCTTGTCACAGCCAACATCACCAACTCTGGCCATGCTGACGACTCAGAAAGAAGGCCACGTTGTGGGGTGTTTCTGCAGCCTGGCTGCTTATGATTAGCTGGCTATGATGTTAAAACAAACATGAATACTACTAACAAAATAATACAAAACTTTTCCATTGTAGTTAGTCAGATATTAATTGCAACAATTCATTCCAAGCTGAGTAATGCAGATTCTCATTCATGAAGTAAAACCACTAATGTTTTGTTGGCATTTTGAAATTTATTCTCATCAGATTTTAGTCATCTTTTGAATTAAAACTAACTTCAGTTTAATATTATTTTTAAATAAATTTAACTGTATGTACAAAAAAATAAAATAGTGCTAGTATTTCATCATTAAAAAAAATTAATGTTATAGCTAAAAGGGAAATACAGATAGAATAGATACTAAAAAAAATAAGAAAAAATATTTGGAAATTTAAGGCAACATTTTCATTTCAGCTTTAATTTATTTATGCTTAAATAAAAGGTCTTAAATATTTTAAAAAACAACCATTAGGTAAAAATATAGATTTTTTATATATCGATATTTAAACATTAATGGTGATCCAAGTCAATTTTAAATAAATTAACATAACAATAAAAATAAAATATATTTAATATATAATTTAAATATTATATATATATATATTTGACATATTAATTTAAAAATCACATGAATCAATTAATCAATGTTTTCATGTCATCCTTTCTAACTTCAAGTTGCATCAACACTATTTTTAAGCCACATTATCAACACATTCTCATTTCAAATAACTTGATATTCTGTAGATAACTACATCTTCTATTCTTGTCACTAATTATATCACATCTTTATGATGCATCAATTCTATTGTATCTCCCAACATCATTTCTACCTTAAAATTGCTTCAACCACATCTTTTAACATTGTTTCTAACTTCAAGTTGCATCAAGTTGAGGTTCAAAATACTAGCTAAGTCCAAAAGTAGGATGAGACTATGAATCCCTCAAATCTCATGCGGTAGAAGATGAAATTGGGCAAAAGATGGGTGTTTTTGCATCTTTGACATTGCATTGCTGCAAAAGGGCCATAGGATAGAATTATATTTTAATAATTTTCTAAGAAAACTCATTTAATTAAGTTTCTCTTCAAAATATTATTTTGGTATAAGATATTATGTAGGTTTGTTTTTAGGAAAAATAGAAAAAATTAGAAAAGAAAAGTAGGAAAGAAGAGAAAAAGAGGAAAGAAAAGGAAAAAAAACAGGAATACGATCAGGAGGGCCTGAGGCTGCTCATGAACGGCGACAGCCTCTTCGTCGATGGGGTCCGGCCGCCCGGATCCGTACCTCTCTCTTGTTTTTTTGTTTTTTGTTTTTTTTTCGGTACGGATTTCGGCTCCGATCGAGAAGGAGTTTTTTTTTTTTTTTTTTTTTTTTTTTTTTTCCGTCGTACGTGTGCTGCTGCGGGGTTTGCAGCAGGGTTTGGTGCAGTCAAAGTGTTGTGGTACAGCATCCTAGTTTTATCGGTGATCAAAGTGGAGCTCCTATTCGGGTGTTCTACAACAAGCATTTACGTTCAAAGAGTGGTGGTGCCCCCTCTAGTTATGCCTAGCTCATTGTAGCTCTGTTTTTCCTTGATTTTCTCTATCGGGGTGTTTTTTGGAGATCCATTTGCAGTGGTGCCGCTAATTCTTGTTTATGTTGTCTTTTCTTCTTCAACTCAATGTTACTGTCAAATTCTGTGACTTTGCAAGAGAGCGTAAATTTGGTTTTATCCTGCTACTGCTCTAGTTGTGGAAGCTGATTGTCTTGGCGATGGTTGATTCTAAGCTCGAAGACCTCGCAACGGCCCTTGGTTGAAGTTAGCAACTGTGTGGTATCGATTTTTTTTTGGTTCCTGATTGGTGCTCCGTTGGAGTCAGTGTAGACGTTCTCATGGTGGCGGTGCAATTGCTGTCGAAAACCTTGCTAAAATTGCTGCACTGACCCTCATCGACTCAAGTTGCTTCCATTTGCTAGTCGTTTTGTTTGTTCCCTTTCGCTCTACATCAACATCATCGGTGGATCAAGTGCGGTTCAAGCGATCCCTTTGGTTGCTGAAGCGGCGTCGGCGGAAGTGCGACATTGAGAATCGACTGTGGGTAGGCTCCTCTATTGCTGTGACCATCGACAGTGTGGCAGTGGTTCAATGTTGCATGGAAGAACGAGTTGTGGATTGATATATGTGCAGCGGTAGAGGTCCCATTGATGCGAAGATGGTTGGTTATTGGCCAAGACAGGAGCAACACAATTGAGAAGAAAAGGGGGTTGCTACAGTTGTTGACGGCCCCGATTATTCTCAAGTGTGGACTGTGCACTACTCCCTGGCTGTGAGCGGTTGATCTCGCCATCAGTCGCAATTCTTCTTATTCTTTACCTTTTCCACATCAGTTCTTTGTTCATGGCCAAGGATACCAAGGTTGTTGCAGGAAGTTGTGAATTGTAGCAAGTTGTCCATCATCGACGCTGCCGAGCTCAAATGCTAAACTTGGGTGCTAATTTTACTACTCCAACTTTGTTGTGAAGAAGGAGATCCAGACACAGAAGGACTACAAGTTCATTAGTTGCCTTGACATTATTGTGAATAGCCTTGGTCGTGTTTACGGAAGGCTGACGGTGGAAAGGACTTGTTGAGAGTTCTACATAGCAGGGCAGAAAGGCGTGAATTTAACACAAAGAAAAAAATAAAAAATAAAATATGTAGCTATTATTGTGCACGCAATTAGATGAATAAAGTATTGCTTGTTGGCTCTATGGTTTAAGAACTGTATTGTTGTCAATCAAGGTATTAGATTAGAATTGCAGATGATAATAGAAGGATCAATTGTAGTGCATCCAACTGCTTAGGATAGAGCTTAACTCTCAGTAGAAGCAATGCTCGTAGCACTCCCTTTAAAGTGTTTCCTCATACTCTTGAATTTGTTAGCGATATTAATCATCAACTTGAACCAGAGGAATCGAGTTCCAGGAGGTGATTCATCAACATCAGTTCATCATCACCTTCCAGTGGAGTCCGAACTGTGACCAATTCAAATCATTTTTTGTGGATGAAGTTAGACCTAGTAGTAATTCTAGTCAGATGAATATTGGGTAGCAGATGAAGGGCCGAGATTGGTTAAAGTTGTATTAGGGTTAAGGATTTGGATTGGACGAATTATTTGGATGAATTTGCAAATCAAGGATGAATTTTCATTCATGGATGATTTTTTAAATTAATAGATTAATTTTGATTAAAATTAAATAAATAATAATAATAAAAATAAAACTAATAATAATAAAAAATAAAAGATAAAAATAAGAAAAAATAATTAAAAGAAAGAAATATTTATAGCATTAAATTTTTGAGTGATTTATTATTGTGAATGTGAATTAATTGCAGAGTTTTGGTTGAATTGATTGAATTATTTAAGAAGAATAATGAGTGATTTGATTAGAGCTTAATTAATAGCTATAACTATTAAAATTTACAAAGTGAATTCACTTTTTGTGAACTAAAATAACCTTTTAACTAATGGAGGTTCATTTTAGCTCATTGGTAAGTTAGAAACCTGACCAATAAGCTAGCTATGTATTGCATATGTTGATAGCTTATGATATAAGTTAACAATGTAATACACATATAAGAAACTTGCATTGCAATTTAAAACATATATCTTACAAAGTCAATAGGTGTTAGAGGTTCTATAAAACATTGCTATGTAGCTCTTAATTAGATAGTATATATGGAGGCAAGAGTGAAGCCTTCTTTACTCTTATTAATGCCTTTTTATTCCTTAATCTTGTTTTAAGATTTTCTAGTCTCCTAGTCTTTACCAGTAGCCATTCTAATTCAATATATTACTATCTTTGAGTAACTTTTTAATCTTTTTGAATAATAAAAGAGTATATTGACTTTTCTTTCTTTGAAATTCATGTCCTTGACAATTTAACAAGAGTTATAATTCATTATTCTTGTTTTGTTCTAAAAATGAATCGATTATCCTACTTTTATTTTTGTGTTTTTAAAGATTGCACATGACCTATATTTAAATTAATTTTTATTTTTCTAATACTAATTTTTTTTCTTAAAAAAAGTGAATTACCTCTCTTTATAGAAATTTTTATTTCATATTAGAGGTTGCAAATTTTTCTTTTCTAATTTAACTTTTTGAATTTGTTTGAATTGTGTATAGAAGAAAAAATTATAGATGCTACTCTTGGCGAAAATAAAAATAAATTTGTAATTATTGCACATCTTCAAAAGCTTATTAATACTCTTAAGGTGGAAATCTTATGTATTTTTAATATGAATCATGAAGATATTATTCCTATGCCTATAGAAGTAGTCAATAATAAAGTTCAAAGTTTATGTCAAGAAGTTATATAATTATGAAAAGTAAATAGATCAAGTTTATAATTGAATCCAAATAGTCTTTCTACTACAAATATAAGGGAGGCAATGATAAGTATGCCAAAGAAATTTAATAGAACAAGATCTTGTTCCATCAAATTGAAGGTTTTTACAATAAATAAAGTTTTATCTAAAATTATATTTTTTTAATATCTTCATAGATTTACTCAAGTTGGATTCATAAGAGCACTTTTCTTTAGA